CTTCTTCTTCTTCTTCTTCTTCTTCTTCTTCTTCTTCTTCTTCTTCTCCTCTCCCCCTCCTCCTCCTCCTCTTCTTCTTCTTCTACTTCTCCTCCTCCTTCTCCTTCTTCTTCAACAGTTTCTTGGTTTATTCTTGAGATGCCGATTTGCCCTGTGACCTGGGGAGGAGGGGTGCATAGGGGGTGAGGGAGAGTAGAGATCCTTCCGGAATCTCTCATCATATCCCAGACTTCCTTCACATGGAAGCAGATTAAATAGACCACAAACTATTCATTCCCGTTTTCATACAGCTCCCAGTTATGAATAGGACAGCACCATATAGGATCCTGATTTGTGCCCAACATCTTGGTCCCCAGAATGCTTGGGGACATAGGAGTGGGGCAAGGTGGGGAGAGTGTGCTGAGAGCTTCATCAAGAGAGCAGAAGGCAGGCACATCTCACGGGAGGGAAGTCCCACTCTGATCTTGCCTACTCCAGAAGTACCTCCTACTCCAGAAAGAATGGGAATGAACAGGTAGGGTCCCAGCCAGGGATGGGAGGTAGCCAGTGCTTCACTATGAGAAGGGATAGCACCAAGAGGTTTGGAGGACACTGATGAGAGGCGGGGTTTTCAACCCTTCTTTACAATGATCTCTGAACCTTAGGTGCAGGAGTTGTGTTGTCTATCAGTTGGAACTGGGCCTCACAACTCTGCATTTTGATTGGTTGTAATTTTTTGTACTAGTCTCCATCTGTTGTGAAACAAAATTTCCTTGATGAGGGGTGAATAGTTCCCTGGATAAAGACAGATATTTAGGACGTAGTTAGGGGTTACAATGGCTTGGTGAAGTGGCAGTTGTAGTTTCTCCACCAAGATTTGTGTCTGACTGCACCAGCCCTGGATTGTTGGCTCCGTTTCCTTTACTAGGAATGATTTTCCTCTTGTTGAGCATGTTGTAAGTCCAGTTAGAAAGCTTGTTGGTTACTAACAGGTATTCAAGCCGCTACTGCACCCTTAGGGTTATTGTGCCATGCTGGATGTTCTGATCCAAAAGTGTCATAGTTGGCAGCACTGCTGGTAGCTTCCCTCCCCCTCCTTTGGAATCTTTTGGTACCAGGAAAGCTCATCCTCAGAGAGGTTTTCAGACCAGATTCAGGTATTTAAAAAATACACCCTTACACTTATGTGTAAACCTGATGTGTATTATAGGGAATTTTAGGCAGTTAATAGCGTGATTCCTTATGACTCTGCAGACACCTTGTTATTTTAGCTACCTCTCCCTTTCTAATGAGAACCCCCATCTCCCCCTTTACTTCACTCGCATCCTGCCATTCCCATCTCTACTGCTCCCCCACCCATGCACTGGTCCCTTTTACTCTCCTGGTTTCTGCAGTTACTCCAGGTTCTGAACTCACACCTGGAGATCTGGAGCCAGGAATCTCAGATGAGAGGTCTGTTCTCACTTCATCATTTACCCAGGCAGACCCTGGGGAAAGGTATCTGTCTCCTTTCTTTTGGGGGTGTGGAGCTTGAACAAAACTTCCCATCACTTGCCAGTGACAACAGTGTGATGTATGCACAGAGATGTAGAGCCGAGATGTGAATCACACCACCTGATTGTGTAATTCAGATTTCCATCAGTCACGATGACTCAATTTATAATAATGGAGTACTAGATTAAGAACTAAAAGGACATCCAGGTGGGGCATGGTGGCACAGGCCTGTAACTCTAACTCGCAGGAGTCTGAGGCAGGAGAATTTCATGGTTTGAAATCAGCATGGGAAATGAGGCTCCAACTGAGAACAAGAAAGACTCTAACTAAACGCTATGCACAGAGGGGTTGAAATACAAGCTGACACTTCCGGCTTTCATATGAATGCACAGAATAGTAAACAAAGGCACTTTGCGCCATCATTCAGTCTTTAATCAAAACCACAGCACATTTAACACATACACATGTCCAGACCTTCAGTGACTTTTGCATGTTGAAATCCCTTTGCACAACACTTTGAGGTTAAATTTGTGCTATGAATTTACAAATGTACAACATAAAAATACATTTTGAGTCCATCCCATGTAAGTTTAAAACACTTTAGATAAAGTTGACATACAGTGTAAAGATATTTAAAATAAAAATTACAAAATGGGCATAAAGAAGTCTTCCCTTTGGAATTTTTTAATAAAATACTGCTCTAAAATCTAATGAAAAATTCCAGTTACTTACAAAATAGTTACATGAGGAAAGAAGCCAAGGAAGATAGATGTGTATGAATCACCATTTAATGAGGAAAATGCTAAACACTTTGATACACAGCACACCACTGATTATTCAAATGTTAAATGAAAACACTCAAAAGTAATGTTTAAGAAGAAGGAAATATAAGATACTTGAACCACCTCCATCCCCCCAAAAAGTTAAAAACTAAAATCCAGCTGTGTGATGGTGGCATACACCTTTAATCCCAGCACTTGGGAGGCAGAGGCAGGCGGATCTCTGTGAGTTCGAGGCCAGCCTGAACTACAGAGTGAGTTCTAGGACAGCCAAGGGTACACTGAGAATTCCTGTCTTGAAACATAACACACACACACACACACACACACACACACACACGCGCGCGCGCACACATACCTGTAACTGTAAAGGAAAGGCAGGATTAATAGTACTTAAAGCATACTGGGCATGAAACCATACTCTGTAACCTCAGAATTTAAGGTGGAGGCTGGGAGACTGAAAGGGCTATGCAGCAGGGGTGAGGAGGGGAGAGGGATGGAGTGGAGGGTGAGGAAAGAGGGAGCCCAAGGGAGCCAGCACTTAAAAGCAGGCTGTGGAACAGATTTTCCCCCTATCATTTTGAGAGAAACAGAATGAGCATGGCGTCTAACCCCTAAGCAGCTACACAGACCCTCATCTGCTGTCACAGTCGGTTGTAATGGGCCAAGTGGTGGGAAATAAACTTCTACAGCTTTCACGAGTATAAAATACAATCTCCTGGAAAGCAGTCTCATCAGAAGCTGCACTTGAGACCAATCACTGAAGAGTAGAAGATTTTACCCACAGACAGACATACTGATTCTCAACATTCTTGCCACTTGAACTCTTTTCCCTCCTGTCCTCTCTTCCAAAGAGAAGGTCCAGCGCTGGCTCACTAAACCCGCTTGTCTGTTCTCCCCGTCACTGGGGAGCTACTGTCCCTCTGGCTCTTTCTGGCCCGACAGAAAATAAGGATGTCTAACGGGAATATGAATTGTCAGTCTGAAAAACACTAAAAATTTAAGCTTTATTTTTTTTGTTAGCAAAAGAAGTGCCTGCAAAAAACACCACTTTATTGAAAAACAAACATAAAAGGCACACAATCTCTAAAGAAAATAATGATTTTTTTGGTGACAGATTTTTTTTTTTTAAAAAAAGATATAGAATATATCTCATAATAATTTCTAATAGATTCTCTTTTATAGTAAAAAAAAGTCTGGAAGCAAGAGGGTACAAAGAAATATAGCAGAGAAGTGTGTGAGAGCTACCTTTAGTGAAGAGCCATGAAGTTCTGTCATATAAGGAGAAAACTAAACAACCACTATGAAAAAATATTTGTTGATACAAAGAGAACAGGTACATAAAATAGGAGTAAATAAAATAACCCTATAGCTTATTTCCTTGAGATAAAAAAGTACATTGGGGCAGTGGTGGCACACACCTTTAATCCCAGCACTGGGGAGGCAGAGGCAGGCGGATCTCTGTGAGTTCGAGGCCAGCCTGGTCTACAGAGCTAGTTCCAGGACAGCTAGGGCTACACAGAGAAACCTTGTCTGGACCCCCCCCCCCCCAAAAAAAAGGACATCGAAGTCTGCAAATACTACTGGATATTACCTGTCTCCCTCTCTGTGCCTCCTCCCCTAAGAACTAAGAACCCAGAACTGTCTATACACAAAGGGAAATAGTGACAGGAAAATGGCCATCACACTCTTAATTCTGCTCACCTGGGGAAGGAGGGGACAGCCGCAGTCATCTTTACTTACTGCTTTGGGCAGCATCTATCTCCACAGCCCAGGCTTGCCTAGAATTCAGTTCTGCTGCAGCTTCCAGAGAGCTGGGATTGAGGATGTGCTGGGTACCATTCTCAGCCAGGGAAGATCTCAAACTGAAACTGATTCAGAGGACAGAATCTGCCGACATAACCGAGGTTTAGATGTCTAAGCCTTTAGTCTATGAAGTTGTTTGAGTCAATTCATGCATTTTATCTACCAAATTTTAAAACTAGGGTAGTGACCAGGTAACACACAGAACTGTGAAAAGAAGCAATGATTGAAAGGACCCATCTTTAAATTATCTTAATTTGCTTAAAAAAGACTTGTTGAACAAGGATATGTGCAACAGTTTCCAGTGAAAATACTTTTCATGTAAACTCGAAAAGTTATTTTCGAATTTACATGAACACAGTCAGGGAGAACCTTTCTTTTTGTGACCAGAGTTCACCATTTTCACCAAAATTCTTAGATTCAACAGCCAACTGAGCATATTTTAGACTCCTGAGGGCGGGCTCAGACTGCTCTATACCCAGAGGGGAAAGCTGTATGGGGCCCACAGTGCAACTATGTTGCAGAGATGTGCTAGATCCTGTCCTCACAGCTACTCAGCTGTCAGGACAGGCACGCCCACATCTTCCAGAGGCTGCACGTGACCTAGACGTTGAGAATAGGACTATGGGGGAGGGGGGAGAAAATACATCATACTGCCTATCTGCCAATACACAATCCTCTCTTACTTTATTTTCTCTTCAAGTTTGACCCTTAGCATTTTCATTTTTGTTTTTAAAAGGAAGGTCAAATATTCCCACTGGCTCTCCATGTAGAATTACTAGCTTGTGCTCAAATTTTAGAGAAATACCTTCATAGGTTCAATGGCACTGTGTTGACTAAAAATCTCTCAGGCGATTTTCAAAAGGGATCCTTTCTCTGTGCTCTGCAGAGAACAGCTATACACCATGGTGGAGCCATCGCACAGGAGTGAGTGAACGTAGAACAAATCTGAGTGGGATTCTTGGAAGGGGCTATCACAACAGCGCCTGCAAAGGGTGCTTCCCTTGAAAGTAGAGTTTGAGAGGACAAACCCTGAGGATGGCCTGAGCCTTACCCCAAGCTTCCTGCATGTGCGGAAGTGCTCGGCACTGACAAACAGTAACAGAAAACACAGTTAAGAAAAGTCACACGACCATAGACAGTGAAGAAAAGGACCACTGACCTCTTATACTAAAGGCACTAGCATACATACATCCTGCCCTCATTTAGAGAAACACTGGAATCAGCAGGGAAAGGAACTCAGTTCACCACCAGCATTTACAAAAGCAGTAGGGACGCATGGCAGAGTTTGCAGCGAGCTAATGAAATCACACACAACAGTCAGCAGCTCCATACAGAGACTGGTTCCTACTTTTTAAAAAGTACGATCATTTTATCCTTAAAAATATAAACATATCACAAAACTACAAGATAAATATATGTCCATATATAAATGCGGGTCCTGATGTCATTGAGAAATTTCATAAAATCCAAATCATTTCAGCAGTATGAACAACTGACGTGAGTGACATGCAGAGACGGATGTGGCATTACTGAGCAGCTCAGCAAGTGCCAAAACGCACAACTTGAATGGGCCAGGCAGGAAATAATGTACACACAAACACCTTGGAATTTTAAAAAAGTTTAAAATGTTGTCAGTCCTGGGAAGCCCTACACATGGACCCCTGATGAGCTTTCACATACGTGAAGTAAGCAGGGAAAAAGTCACATAAGTGGCTGTGTTGAGGCATGGCTGGAATCATAGAGCCTGGAGGACTGCCATGGGTACTAGGCCAGCCAGGACTACACAGCAAGACCCCATCTCAAAACAAACAAAAGCCAAGAAGCCTAAGCAAGAATGAAGTGATTAACATTTTGCACTGTACTCTATTTGAAGATTGATTTGTAACCATTGTACCCTAGAGATTGTGAAATTTAATTTTATTAGAAATTCTTAATGCTGGTTTTTGAATAATCGAAAAAAAAGTAATTTCTCAAATCTCGATTGCTATTCCGAGTTTGAAGCAGCCAGGCGAATGATCTGGAGGGTTTTCTAGAGCTGCTTTGGTACAGGTTTAGAACAGAGCAAGGCTGGCAGCACCAGTCAGTGCGCTGGCTCCACGCTGGCTCCAGGACATCCTGGGACCGCCTCTGGCAACAGACTCATGTGATGACCGAGCAAGGACCACTCTCCCAGCCATGTTGCTACATCATTAAAGAGCAATAAAACCCATATTTAGAAATTTATGAGGCCTAATTCATGTTGCATTTAACTATCCCTCAATAATAGTGTAAAAAAGCTTATAATTATCATAATATGATGACTAATTTATAGGTCAAGGATGTTTCTAATGAGGAAGCCAGTGGTTAGTTAGAGTGGTACATTTTAACATTTAGTCCACTGATATCTACTTTATTTTTTTGGTTTTGAAGCAAGGTTTCAAAGGCCAGGGACTCATTACGTAGTCTTGGCTAACCTTAAATATATGGCAATCCTCCTGTCTCAGCCTCTCAAGCACGAGGGTTATAGGCATGAACTACCATGCCCAATTTGATATTTATTTTAATACAAGATTTAATTTGATCTTTTTTACAGTTTTATTGAGGTATCACTGATGTATAACAAATTGCACATATTTAAAGTGCACAATTTGATATATATTCTTAAATAGCATGAAAAGTGCCTGATAACTTAAAAATACAAATATTCAATCTAAACATATTCTAAAATAGCACATTTCTGACACATAGATATCAATTTATAAAAAGGTAGATGGAAATAAAAGAAATTAATTCCCAGGTATCAAATTTATTCAGAAGGTTTGGGAACACTAAAGTTGACGGCCAGTTTCCTTGATTTCCTCCTAGAGGAGCTCGGTGCTGGTTTCTGGTGGGACACACCATGGCCTTGGGCGGCAGTGTCCACTTGAGACGACGTGGGCTGGGCATCCTGAGAGCACTTCAAAGAGGCTGATGGGCTTTCTTGTGGAATTACTTGGGTGGCTTCAGAAGATCCTGGCTTGCTAGTCTGAAGTGGTGTGGCTTGAGAACTCTGGGCCTCCTTATTCTCAAAATGCTTCCTGTTTGCAACCCTTTTTTTCGTAACCTTTAAGGAATAACAGTATCATTAACTAACAATGTGTGTGTGTGTGGGAAGCTTGTGTCAGAAAACACCACAAATCAGGCTGCAGTCGCTGCTGGAGAGAGGGCTAGAGGATGGGGTACTGCTGCAGGGGATCTGAGTTTGGTCCCCCGTGTCCATGTCGGCTGGTCTGTAACTCTGCTTCAGGGGATCCAACGCCTCTGACCTCCCAGGGCATCTGTCCTTGTGAACAACATATCCTCCCCCATGCACATAACTAAACCCAAAAAAAACTTTAAAAAGATTTTTATTACTTGCTATTAGTATTAGTATTAGTAATACTAATACAATTAGTATTACTTCTTAGTATATAAACTCAGACCAGAGATTAGCTGAAGTGTATCACTATTGTAAGCTTAGTTCATAACAAAGGATTTCCAGTTAGTACTAGGAAGTTATAATTACTTAATTTTTTATCAATAGTTGTGTTCTGAATATTAAGAAAGAAGTAACTGTTAAAAAACCACATTTTCCTTCCCAGCTCTCACCTGTAGAGGTATGAACTGATTGTGCGCCCCACTTGGCATTCCTCCAGCCAAGGGCATGGTTCCAGGATATGAAGGATGGTGAAAGGCCTTCCCAGCAACTGGCACTGGTGGTCTCCATGGCACTGAGCCAAAGAGGTGAGTTGATGAAGGCATTATATTAGCTGTTAAAAACCAAGATCCAGAGATTAAGACCTCTCTCTGCTAGCTTTTTTTAGTTCCTCTACCTCATTTGGCAACTGCAACTGCTCTTGTCTGTTACATCACTCAGCCCTGGGACTTTTTCTGTGGTATCATTTCATTGGCTTCTGGAGACCCTGGCTTACTGGTATGAAATGGTGTGGAATGCAAACAACTCTGGCCCTTCCTTATTCTCAAAATCCCGTTTGTTTGGTTTCTCGACCACATAAATGATCATGAAGCTGCTCTCTGAGGAAGGTCTGGGAACAAAGACAGACATCATAAGGTTCTCACCTGACCCAAATGCTAAGCTGCATCTACAGTGAGCTCAACTTACAAAATACCCAAAGCTCTAGACTTGAAATATGATCATTTTCATGGGACAGGGAGAATTTCTTTTCTCTATTTTAGTATTATAATTCAAGTACTCTTTTTTGTTGCCTGTTGGAAACACACTGAGCTACTTGGAGAGCTTGTGAAATGCAGACTCCTAAGCAGAGTGACTAAAATCTAGCAAGCCATATTCTTGAGTCTCAGGAATCTTTGTGTGCAGATCAGGGGACAAATCATGAGAATCAATTGTTTCCTTTCACCATGAGGGACACAGAAATTTAATTCAGGTCTTCATGATTTGCAGCAAGTGTCTTTACCTACTGAGCCATTTCTCTGGACCTGGTATTTTGAATTTCATGGCAACCTGCTTCTTTTTATTATAATATTGTTTTTTTTTTTTAGTCTAGAGATGCATGTCCTTTAGTTCTAAAAATTTTTTTCCTTCTTCCCTCTCTCCCTTTCTCCTTCCCTCCATCCCTCCTTCCTTCTCTTCTTTCCTCCCTCTCTCCCTTCTTTCCACTCATTTCTTTCTCTGGAGTGCTTAAAACAGGGGTTGCAGATCTGTACACTGTTACTCTAAATTTTTGTTATTTCTTATTTTCTAGTTTTTATCACACTTTTACAATTTCAAGTCAACATCTGTGATGGTTTAAATGAGACATGTAACCCACAGGCTCAGGTATTTGAATACAGTCCCCAGTTGGTGGTGCTGTTTGGGGAATTATGGAATCTTTGGCAGATGGAGCCTTGCTGAGGAAGTGTGTCCCTGGGAAGCAGCGCTCTCTCTGCTGTTAGAATATGTGAACTCTCAGCTCTCTGCCTCAGCCATCTGTTGCCATGTCTGTTTCCATTATGGATTCCCCTCTGAGATTTTATCCCAGCAGCAGAAGAGCAACTGATACAGGAGTCGGGTGTTGACCATGTGGTACTTTTCAGGAATGTGGAAGATTTTGCAAGTTTGGACTAGAAAAGTCCAAGTTTGGACTAGAAAAGTGGCTGAATGCCACCAGAGCTTAATGGGCCATTCTAGAAAATAGTATGGTTGAGAGTAATGCAGAAAATAGAGGCCTAGTTCAGGAAGGTTTAGATGGGAACAAGGGCTGTGTTAACTACTGGAGTAGAGACATTGTGGTATTTTTGTAAACAATCTCACTGTTTTCTGTTCATGTCCTGAGAATTTACATGAGGCTGAACTCAGAAGGTTAACTTCTTTTACAGAAGAACTTTCAAGACAGCATAACATCGAGTCTACGGCATGGTTCTTATTGATAATGCATATACAGGTCTGTAATACAAAAAGAGCAAGTAGGGCAGAAAGAAATAAAAAATGCACAGTTTCGAGATAAAAGGGGATTTTCCCTTTAGAATTATAAACTAAGGTTACGGTATTTTAGGTACAATAGGAAGCTTAATGTACAGCCAAGGTAATTGCTAAAAGAGGCTGTCATTGTTAAGGAGATGAGTGCCACTTAAGGAGAGATCTCCTGCTCTGCACTGGAACAATGGGAAAAATACCACAAGGGAGGATCCTATCCTAGCTAAGCCTCCAACCTGGAAAAGGAAAAAGCCTAAACTGCAGGTTGTTCCTAGAAAGCAACAGCTTCAGTTCAGGAAAGCCTGATACTACAGTGGCTGAAGGGGGTGAGGACCAACCCTGGATGGCAGTCAGACTCGTCAGTGTACCACCTTTGGAGGCATGAAAAACTAAAGTATCAGGGAGAAGGGCTCATGGGCGCATGGATTCTATCTGCATGTTTTCAGGTAACCCCTGAGGCCAGGCAACGTGTGACAGATGAATTCCTATAAGGAACCTGTGAGAGGCCATTATATAGTATGAAAATGAAGTCTGGTGAGCTGAGCGGTGGTGGTGCACACTTTTAATCCCAGCAGAGGGAGGTGGATCTCTGTGAGTTCAAGGCCAGCCTGGTCTACAAGAGCTAGTTTCAGTAGTTTCAGGACAGGTTTTGATAGGCCCCCACCCAACACAAAAAGCAAGTTTGGCCCAAAAAAAAAAAAAAAAAAACAAACAAAAAAAGAAAGAAAATGAAATCTGAGTTGTGATGGAGACCCCATGATGTTTAAGATCATAGTCATGAGACGTCTGCCAAAGGCATCTCCACACAGAAAGTGGAATCACTCTGAGATGGGGCGGGGGGAAGTATTTTGCTGGCAACAAAGCTGGAGCCATCTAAGTCTTATGAAATTAAAGTCCCAGACATTGTACATACAGCTGTGGGATTCTGTGTTTGCTCTGTTGAGCTAGATCCTGTTCTGGTTCAATCCTTACTATGCCCTCATTTCTCTCTTTTGAACTAGGGATGTATATTCTTTGGCATTCTATGTTGGAAGTAAGTAATTTGCCCTTTTTTGGGGGGCAGAGTATTAAAAGTATTTAATAAAATACATTGATGAATATAAGATTTCATAGAATTTTTAATTATCTTACTCTTTTTCATTTTTTTAAAAAATTATCTTTTCTTATTTTACATGTCAAATCCATTTCCCACTCCCTCCCCCTTTCTCTCTTCTCATCCCCCATCCAGTCCTCATTTGTTCAACTATGTTCATAGCAGCACTATTTGTAACAGCCAGAACCTGGAAACAGCCTAGGTGCCCCTCAAGTGAAGAATGGATAAAGAAGGTGTGGAACATTTACACAATGGAGCACTACTCAGCAGTAATAAACAATGACATCTTGAAATTTGCATGCAAATGGATAGAACTAAGAAAACCATCCTGAATGAGGTAACCCAGACTCAGAAATATGAGCATGGTATGTACCCACTCACAGATGAACACTTGCTGTAAAACAAAGGATAAGGAGCCTATAGCCCAAGGCCCCAGAGAAGCGAAGTAACAAGGAGAACCCTAAGAGAGACATACATAGATCCTCTGGGGAAGGGGAAATAGACAAGATCTCCTGAGATAACTGGAGGGAGGGAAGAGAAGGGAAGGCTAAAAGGGGAGGAGGAGGGGGAAAGGGAAGGAGGGAGGAGAACTATAGGGAATGGGGGGTAGGACAGAGACAGAGAACAAAGAGTTATCTTGATTGAGGGAGCCATTACGGGGCTAGCAAGAAACCTAGCACTAGAGAAATTCCCAGGAATCCACAAGGATCCCCAGCTAAGACCCTAAGCTATAGTGGAGAGGGTGACTGACTGGCCTTGCCCTGTAGTCAGAATGATGACTGCCTCAAATGTCATCACAGAACCTACATCCATCCAGCAACTGATGGAAGCAGATGCAGAGAACCACAGCTGAGCACTGGGCTGAACTCCCAAAGTCCAGCAGAAGATTGGGAGGAGTGAGAATATGAGCAACGAGGTCAAGACCACGATGGGGATATTCATTGAAACAGTTTATCTAAGCTAATGGAAATCTTCCAACGCCAGCCTGACATGAGGGAACCAGCACAGGATCAAACTAGCCCTCTGAATGTGGGTGACAGTTGTATGGCGGGACAGATTGTGGAGCCCCTGGCAGTGAGACCAGTATTTATCCCTACTGCTTGTTCTGGCGTTTTGGAACCCATTCTCTCTGGAGGGCTACCTAGCTCAGCCTAGATATAGTGGGTAGGGTCTTGGTCCTGCCTCAAAGCAATGTACAAGACTTTGTTGACTCCCTATGGGAAGTAATTTGCCTTTTGAATCTACAGGGGGGTCACATTAAGAGATTGCTTTGGGTTTCAAAAGAGACTTGGATTTTGAACTTCTGAACCATGCTGAGACTGATAGAGACTACTGAGACTGTTAGGGCTGGACTAAATGCATTCAGCACTCTGAGACGGCCATGAGCCTGCACAGGCAGAGCAGGATGTGCTGGCTTAGAATGACAAGTGCACTCCATAGGCTTGGATATTGGGGAGTTATGGAGCTTGAGGATGTGCAGTCTGAGGTGTGTCACTGGGGGCAGCTCTGAGTTTACGGCCTTGCTCCATGCCCGGCTTGTTTTCTCTACTTCATGCCTGTAGTTGAGTATGGGATCTTTCAGCTTCTGGCTGCAGTCACCTGTCACCCTGCCTTCCTTCCCATTAGGGCTCCTGCTCTGAAACAGTAAACCAGACAAACCCTTCCTTCTGTAAGCTGCTCCGTTACAGTGACAGGCAGTAACAGACAACCACAAATCATTTTTTTCAATTATTCTTCTTTCATACAATCTTGGTTTTATTTCGTTGGCTCCACAGAGCTGGAGATTGAGCCTCAGGCTTTGTGTAGGCTAGGCAAATGCAGTCTGCAAGGATGCGGAGCTCTGGTAACCCCGACTGCAGGGCCTGTGGTTTGCAATTAACCCTGCTCTGCTAAGCTGACTTCGTCCATGTTTTATTCACTGCAAACTGTTTTCAAATTTCTATTCTGCTGATATTTCTTCTCTCTATTTATCCCCAAAGGCTTTGCTTTTAAAATTTCTTATTAATTAATCTAATAGACTTTGGGCAGGAAGAAAAGGCAACTGCAAGTTATAAACTTTTTTGATTTTTAGTGATGGTTCTTCAATTCAGGGTGCTGGGTACACTGTAATTCCAGCACTCAGGAGGCAGAGAAGGAGAAATTAGAAATTCAAAGCTGGTCTAGGATACATGAAACATTGTCTTAAAAAGAAATCAAACCCTAAAACACAAAAAATGGCACATCTTGATGTATGTGTACACTAAATGTAATTAGAAACACAAAACAAAACCCTCAAAAAACTCACAATAAAAATGTGGTTTTTAAAGGAATTTAGAGAAAATAGTAACTCGAGAATAATACTTAAAAAAGCAAAATATCTTACCAGCAGGTTGGGGAAAAATGGGAGGAATGGTTCCAGATGGTACAGCTGGAGGATAATTTGGAAATATTGGTGGAGGCAAAGGATAATTCACACCAAAGGAGCCCTGTGGAAGTATTTAAAAATTGTAAGGCAAAACAACAAACCATTTCTGTAGATCTAACAGATGGCTTTGGCAGGTGGGAGAGCTGGTCCTGAGGTCCTGAGAGAGTAGAACAGGCCCTGCACCTCACCTGAGCAACACTGTAGAATAACCTTATTGGTGGGAGTACGAGTGAGCCTGCTCTGAGGGCATGAGAGTAGGAGAGCTGATCCCACTCCTGCTCGCCTGCTGTATAGTGGCATGGGAGAGGGAAAAATACCCCCATCCCTTGTCATCTCGAAAGGCAGGAGAGTTGGCCTTGGGAGCTCAAGAGTGGGAGAGTGGGCCCTGTACCTCGCCTGGGCAAAACAGTAGAGTTGACCCTGGAGGTGTGAGAGGGCATGAGAGCAAGAGAACCAGCTGGCTCCTTGCTGCACTGAGTGAGCTAGAGGGGGCAGAGCTGGAGAGCGCGCCCTGGTGGTGTCAATGGGGCAAAGCTGGCAGGCAGACCAACACCCAGGACTATGAGTTGGCCCACTCCAACATTCACCTCATCTATGAACTGCTGGAGCATGTGAAGGGGCCAAACCTGTAGATCCAAAGCTGCAGGGTCTCCATTATATAAGGTAGCAACAGGATATCCAAGATGAGTCACAGTGAGGGCCCAGTATCAAGAATGTAGCAGAAGCCAGGTGGCTCAAACCAGACCAATGACTCATTGCAATACTTACAAGCAGAGATAGATGTATAGACTAAAGGGTATATTGTGTGGCTCTGTATCACAGCACAGCTTCTACACCGAGACTTTTTAACGATTTTTTTCTCTTAGCTTTTAAAAAAATTTATTGTATTTTGAGGGGGAGCTAGCAAGGGAAGGGGGTAGATACAAAGAGATGGGGAGATGAATGGGATCAGGATGCATGGTGTGAAACCCACAAAGAATCAATTAAAAAAAGGGAAAAAAAAATTCCAAAAGTAACAGATGAGAGAGATATCTTAGTGGTTAAGAGCACTTGCTGCTCTCCCTGAGGATGAGGTTTGATTCCCAGCATGGACGTAGGGCAGCTCATAACCACCTGTAACTCCAGATCCAGGGGATCTGACTCCCCTATTCCTCTGGTCTCACTGGGTGTGTGCGTGCACGCATAAGCACACACACACTCTTAATCTTAAAAACTTAGTAGGGAATTCATGAATGATTCTTACCAGTTGTTGTAAAGCAAAAAGTGCAGCTCTCTCCTTGGCTTCACTTTCAGAGTGGCACTGTGGCCCATGTACCAGTAAACCATTGGAAAGTTTCACTTGACAAACTGTCATTGTCTAAAACAAGAGAATATAGATGTCCATAAGATTATCTGTCTAGGAACCCAACTTCCTCTCCTAAAGCTTTGTCTAATCAAAGAAGAATAATCTTACTTAAGCTTTAGGTTCCCAGAAAATTGTTTTAGATTTTTGTCTTATTTTTATTTTCTTAAAAAATAGTAAAAACTCAGGGTCTATGTAGTTTTGGCAGACCTGGAATTCTCTATAAAGACCAGGCTGGCCTTACACTTAGAGATCTGCCTGCCTCTGCCTCCTGGATGTTGCTCAGATTAGTGCCTTATTTTTTAATATTCACAAGATAGAATGTTCTCTAGAGCAGGGCCTGAAATCCTAGCTCTTTGGAAGTCTGATGGGGGAAGATGGGATTGTTTGCACTTAGGAGTTAGAGATCAATCTGATTACACGGGAAAGAAGTTTAAAACAGAATAAAAGAACAAGGTGTCTAAACAGACTGAGTACCAAGCATTTCAATGAAAACAAAGGGTAGCAAAGCCTTTTTATTTCTATTCTAAGAATTGGCAGACTAAGCCTTTGGCTAACAAAGTTTTACATTAAAAACAAACAAACAAACAAACAAACAGCCAGCCAGGCAGTGGTGGCACACCTTTTAACCCCAGCACTAAGGAGGCAGAGGCCAGAGGATCTCTATGAGTTCTATGAGTTCGAGGCCAGCATGAACTACAGAGCAAGTTCCAGGGCACATAGAGAATCCCTGCTTCAAAAAACCAAACCAAACCAAACCAAACCAAACCAAACCAAACCAAACCCAAAACCCCAAAATGCTTATGAAAAACTTCCCATTATTGTAGAGATGAGAAACTGATACGACTGCCCACAGGACGAGACACTGGCCACCGACTCATGTTTCTGACAGACACAGCTGGCACACTCATGTTTCCTGTCACCCTTAAGCAGCATTTGGTAATAGAGCTGTCTATATGTGAGAGACTTGGAGGTTCTTGTTTGCCCTAATATGGCCTGGAAAGCCCCATTCCTGTCTTTCTCTCTCTAATCCCTCGCCTATTTCCAACTCCTACAGGCATTCTGAATAAAGGAAAAGCACAAAAAAGCCCAGTTCTGCATTCTTGGTGGCTGTTGCAGTTTCTTCCCCTGAAGCTGCCAGCTGGCTGCCAGCTGCCAAAGTGTCCACCTAAGAGCTCGGCTTTTGATGATACTTGGGCACAAACCAGCCATGGCAGACAAATCATCACCCTTCGCCTACAATTTATAAAATCTCCTTGCTTTAGTTTGGGTGCCTAACTTCTCTGGTCTTGATCTCTGGGGTTGGAGAGCCTGCCTGGAAGCTACTTTGCCCAATGTACCTGTTGTAACACTTTTTCAGTTTAGCTTGATCTGGCTTCCAGTGTCAGCAGATAAACTTATTACGGGGTACGCAGAAAACCTATTACTGTCATTGAGGTTTAGAAGTGATCTTATATATTCTGTTAGTAGAATATGAGGCCTTTAGTTCAATTCCTAGTGCTGCTGAAAAACAATTCCTCAAACAACAAGCAAAACAAACAAACAAACAAAACAACCTCCACACTATTTTATTTTTTTTCTAGCTAAAGACTTTTCACCCAATTATGCTGCTCAGTTAAAGATTTATATCCATGTAGACATCAAATAGCAGTATACTATACCTGTGTTGTTCTCAGAAAGGAGAAATCAGGTTGAGGCATTCCAACAAGGGAACAAATTCGAGCAAGTTCGGTTGCTGGTGTGGACACAGGAGGGATGTGGCCAGGCCAGCACACACTATCCACAGATGGAACATTTTGGTATTCATTAGTACCATGAGGCTTGTTCATAAAACATGCTAACAAGAGAAAAGGGAGTATTCATGTTAGTTAAAATGATCTTGGACTATCCAGTTGTGGTGGTTTGAATAAGAATGGCTCCCATAGGTTCCTATATTTGAATGCTTAGTCACCACCAGAGAGGTGAACTCTTTAAAAGGATTAGAAGGATTAGGAGGTGTAGCCTTGTTGGAAGAGGAATGTCACTGGGGATGGACTTTGAGGTTTCAAAAGCCCATGCTAGGCTCAGTTCCTCTCTGTCAGCCACTGCTCTAGAGCCACACAAGCGACCATGATGATAATGCACTAACTTATGAAACTGTTAAGCAAGCCCACAATTAAATGATTTTTATAAGAGTTGCCTTGGTCATGGGGGTCTCTTCACAGCCACAGAACAGTGACCAAGAACCAGCTATAGCAGATTTATAGTAAATCAAACAGAAAACTGTAAATAATTAAAAAAATGACAGGCTGTGCATGGTGGCTTGCACCTGAAATCCTGAGGATCCTGAGGCAGATGGATTGTCACCAGTTTGACTCCAGTCTGGGATACAAAATGAGATTCTGTCTCCAAAACCAATATAAAAGGTTAAAAAAAATTGCCAAGAAGCAAATTTAGATGGTTATAGTTGATTAATTATAATTACCAAGATAAAAATTTTAAAATAGCATAACAGAGGACACCTGAATATAAGCATAAGTCAGTGAAGAATTAACCCGGCCTCTTTTACTGAGACAAGGTCTCACTGTGTATGGCCTAGAATTTATTATGTAGTCCATGCTGCCCTTAAACTCAAAGAGCTCTATCTGCCTGTTTCCAGACTGCTGGGATTAAAGGAGTGTGCCACCATTATCTATCTCCTACTTCCTGCTGGGATTAAAGGGGTGTGCCACCATTATCTATCTCCTACTTCCTGCT